TTCAGCCCTCGCTTCAGCTTCCCACAACAAAGCTGCCGTGGTTCTTCGGCCTCTGTGCGTGTCTCTTGCTTATGGTGTTAGGTCCGGTTTTCGAATCGACAGAGAAAGAGGCAAACACCATCGATATATTGTGCTTTTTAATAATAGGAGAAAGATAATAAGTATTACCAGCTAGCTGGGGTCCGGGCTTTCCCACACAGGGGTCACACCACGGACCCCGACTACTTCGGTTGTCCCTCTTTTATACCGTTTTCACCCCCAAAATGTTCCCCCCTCCCGTTTCTCTGTTCTACTTTCATGTTAATGTTATCTGTATTTTATTGCTAACCAGGACATCTGGACAGGCAGCCCCTCCATGCGGAACCTCCTGACTTGCCATTTTTCAGGAGTCGTCCTTGTAGATAGGCAACCCCTCCATGCAGAGCCATCTGCCATGCCAGTTATCAAGAGTCCTTGCATTTTGAGACTAAGTATTGACTAGCTTATTAGTACACTCTACATTAACTATTTAATCCCCATTAGTACACTCCACATTAACTATTTAATCCCTACAAGATCCTCTAACGTATTTCTATTTCCTGATGATTTTTGCACACAGAGATATGGGGGAAGCACACAAGACACACAGTTTTTTTGAAAACAAGCTCAAGGAGTCTGCACAAGGAACAGTATGCCAGCACCACTGCAAAAAAGAATCTGGTCAGAGGTGGTATTAAGTTAATTATGGCAATGCCATAAGATTGCTGTGTCTTCCTTCTGAAAAATAAAAGCACCAGGAAGATATATTTTTGTTTATGTTCTACTTGTACCTAACAGCTCTCTCACATGGGCACTGAGCTGTCAATTAACAATACAAGGAAAACGGAAATGGATCTCAAAATGTGCCCAGCATGTAAACTGAAAGCAAAGAGGAAGACCAAATATTTATTTTCCAAGGTTGCTGAGTGCTTCCTCCACCCTGGTTCACTTAATCAACCCATTCTTTGAAAGGGATCCAATCTGCTTATATACCTTCCCCAAAGAAGAGGCTTATATACCTCCCCCGGGAAGAGATAAAAAGGAGTATACTGCAGTAGTAACAAGGTGGTCATGAACCGATTTGTATTTCAAAGAAATAATACACCAAGTATTAGTAATACCTAATTGTGACCTTTCAGTGGGCTAAATTTGACCTCAGTTTAGTCCTCACTACCCCATAGGGAAGAGAACCTTTGCATCAAACCTATTACATATTGCACTACAGTGTTATATATTAAATGTAAAAACATAAGGAACGTTAGGAAAACAAACTAAGGTAGAAGACTTTAGTGTAAAAGAAGCCTCCAGATTTGGGATGCCATAAGCTGCTCTAGAGATACCAGAATGATTTTATCCTACTTTCTGCCATCCGTATGTTTCTAATCTGGCATCAACATCATATATTTGTACATAAACTACATTCTCTTTTAATGACTCCTAACTTTAAAACAGAGTTTCTTCAAACTCAATATGCTTTCAATATGCTTGTGATTTAAAATTTCAGGCTAAAATCAGTTCCACAGTAATACAAAGTATGGCAAGGAAAGCTATTTTCCCCAAGTTGGGTTACATACCATAGCATTCATTTTGCTTCAAGAACAATACTTAATACAGTAAGCACAGCCTAAACTGTAACATAACGTAGTACAAACTTCAAGCTGTTTAGAAAAAAAGTAGGTAAAGTTTGAAAATTTCCATGAGTTAAAGATCAAAATATTGCATTAGATACAATATACTTTCCAAGATAGAGCTCTATCACCAGGCCTGCTCATTTCCCTTTTGAGCATTATTTGCATGCAATCTTTTTCTCTCGATTTTCCATCCTTGCACCCAGCTCTATCGCAGTGTTAGCGAGATCTGCGGGTAGGTCCATATGCACAGCATGGTGCCATCAGCTAATTGTGCATTGAGCCTGGCGAGGCAATATGGCAAGCAAATGGTTACAGTCCCGGCTGGCAGCTTTGGCACAAATTTAACACACGTGCACACCCACCCCTACACAAATTCAGGCCTTATTTGACAGTCCCCATATTCTGCAACAAAGCTTCTATTCAAGCACGAGAGGAAGCTTGCTCCTTATTAATTCAGCCATCCAGGTTACGAGCTTCCAGCAGGCTGACGTCAACCATGCCCTGCTGCACAAGTCGCAGCACATTCTAGTTGTTCACTATTTCACTTGCTCCCTGACATGCTTAAAACCTTGAGCAGTAAAACACTATTGCAGTGAACCCAGTCCGGCACACTAGGATGTCCTATTTTCCACACAAGCAAGTTCCTTCTTAAGGCTCTCAACACATCAAGTTGCAAGACGACAGTCATTCACACTTAAGCACTCTTTAGGGAGAAAATAAAAAGAGCAACTCCTGCACCAGGACCTTTACATGGTGGCATTGCACCTTGTTACAAAACTTCTTTAAAACCATCTACTTGAATGCTTGACAGTGAAGCTCTGTAACTAACCTGAACATTACCCCGAAGCATTTTACAGTTCAAGTGAAGGAACACAAACAATGCATATGGAGAGCAAATAGGAAAAGAGCAGAATCCCTCAGAATGGGGATGGGAAGCATTTTATGGGAATAGCAGGACAGAAGACAACAGTACAAAACCATTTACTCACATATAATGGAGCTTGCTGTGGATTAAGTTTCATGACCCCAGAACACTGAAACAACAAAAAAAAGAGACATATTTAAGACATTTTTTCATAAAATTTTAAGTACTTCTTTGTAAGCTGCAGAATGTTAAATTTCAAAAAACTGTATTAACACCCTTATGTTCCATTTATAATGGTCATTTCTATCACGACAATTTTGTATTTTGTATCTCCTTCGGATCAACAAAGGATAGTCCCAAATTTTTGTTTAGACTCAAGTTACACAAAGAGATCTTTGTAAAATGATTGAGACAGCAAAGTGCTCCTCTGAACAGCTGGAAAGATTGGCAGAGGGCATATTCTAAACAAAACTAACTTCCTTCTCATGTTCATCTCAGTACATCTTTCCTCCCAGCAATGCTTGCTCCATATCTTCTTTTTTTGGCAGTTCCCAATCCTTAAATGTTATCTGTCTGCTCCTTCTCTCATCCCAACACCTGCATTTGAACAGGGCCCAATAGGGAAAAATAGGCAAACAAGAAGTACCCAAATTATGCCTTGCAAATCTGATGGAGAAGCCTTCAGGGTAGGTAATGTTCACTATTCTACTGAAGCATTTTGCACAGTCAAAACTACCATCCTACCACAGCAATTTAGTCAAGAAACTCTCCACTTTCAGGTCTACACTGGTATTTTTATATATTACCTGGGGAAAGTTACCTGCATTGAGCTTTGAATCAACTGAGTCAGGATTTTACTCGTGTGAAATTTCATCAGTGAAGGAGAAAACACTTATCCTAAATGAAAATTGTTAAGTTCTCATTCAAAGAGCATATAACCATTCAAGATCCCAAGATGAAGGAATGTGAAACAATGAAAAATGGATTTTTTTTGTTGCTCATGTCTGCAGCACTGGTTATTCTCTCCAAGAACTTCGAACTCCTTTTAAAAGGAGAGGAAATACCTCTCTGCTTTTCACACTGAAACATAGGCTCTTGTACACACTTCCTTCCCCTCCAAACCCCACAGTTTGCTGTTAGTGAGACAGAAATAAACCACAGGCTAAAGTTTTCTCAGCTGATTGCAGCCATTCTTTCTCCTGCACATTTTCCTTATTTTACACAAAGAAGCCTTTTTGTCCCAGTTAAAAATGTCTGAGCTACCTGCCAAGCTTGCTCATCAAAACACAGCACCTTCAAAAAGTTCTTAAATGGCAGGCAGTAGTGGATGGATGAATATTTTCCTATAGTTTCTAAATCAAATCCATACCCATTTTCAATCTCAAAGTTCTTCCAATGGCAAAATGGCTTTCTCTTCCTTTTAAGCTCTTCAAAAGGATCTCTTGAGAGCTAGACCTGTCAGTTGTCTACCTCCACAAGGATTTGGACAGGCGAGATGCCTGGTACATCCCTGAGGGTACAACACCTCTACCATCAGTCCTTACTTCTGATTGACAACAAGGTCCTGCTATTCGATAAGTACAGACCCCTCAAAGATGGGGGGGGAAAACCACAAGCCCTATTAATCTCACCTACAAGGTACCCGAGTCTCCCTCTCCTATTCTCTAAACAAAAAGGTTGAAATCTGCCTCACATTTAGATTTTTACAAAAGAAATCTCTTGCCAACAGACCAACTTCTTCCTGAACCAGAATTAAGCCCCGAAATCTGACTCAGCAACTTGGCAGTATGTGGGAGATATGAATATTGCAGCATAGAAGCAAAACTGCTGTCCTAGATAAGAATGTTTAAAGGGAATTAATAAATAACATCACTTTTCGACCATTTCAAGTCTTCACAAGCATATGAACAGCCTTTCCTTTTGCTGATAAAAGATATCACATTATACATCTTCAAAGACACCCTTTTTTATATTTACATGTACTATTGGAATTACCTTTTTTACCTACAATTCTGTCACCACTCTACACTAGCAATATTACAACTGCCCTTCTGTAAAGACAAGTGCAAGTTAAAGGATGTCAAACGAAAATAAACAAAAATCAGGAAAGCAAAACATGACTTGTTTGTATCTGCCCAGGACACCACAGGTAATGGACACATTCTACTCTTCCAGTTTCTCTCCATTCCCAAATAATTAGTTTTTAAATTTTCATCAGCTATTCCAGTTTCTCAGACTTTGCTGAGAGGAAAGGAAGTTATCCTAATGTACTCAAATACATTTCTCCTCCCTGCATTAACATCTTTGCCTCTTTCCTGCTCAAGTTCACAGGTGTTTTGTTGTCGCTCTTGTCATTTCAAAACTTGTTTCTGTGATCCAAGACTGAATTACATCTACATTTACTCAAAATACTAATATACTAAACATGCATACTCAGCAAGATCACACCTAGATTTCACGACAGGTGCTTTGCTCAGACAAATCCGTAGGGAATCAGTCATCTTATCACACTAAATACAGTATTCTCACCACTACCTCATCCGTCCTGCTCCAGTTTGTTTGTTCCACCCAGTCATCAAGTCAACGCTTCCAAAAAATCCAACTCAAAGGCTTATGAAATAAACAGGAAAGCCCTAATGCAAGTCTAGGGCATGTGCCTAATGCCAGAACACTTGCAAAAAATAGTAGCAGAATTTAGCATGTTCTGGTTTATTCTCTGCCTCATGCAGGTGCTGACAGAAGGAATCAGGTATCTAAGCTCTTCTCTCCCTCTTCAGGATGCTGTTCTGCAAGCTGCTGCTCTACCATGTGTCACTAACATTGATCCCACCTTTATAAAACATGAGGATCCATGTTCCTGTGGATCCATCCTAAGGTCTACTGCCAGCTCACCCAGAGCGAGAAGCTCCATGACATACTGTGCACACAAACTCAAGCCAATCTAGCTCAATCACGGCCCAAACATCTCCTCAGCAGACCTGTTTAGGAAGGACAAAAGTTGGCTGATAATTCTTCCTCTTAAGAACAGTGGCGCAAACCAGCAGAAGCTTCTCCCATCAGACTTCAGCATGTAGCTGCACTGAAGGTAGCAAAGCTCTCTGAAGAACCGTAGCAACAGAAGGGTACCCCATCAACGGAACATTTGTTTTTTTCTGTCTGTGGTATTAATTTGGGATTGCACTCCCTTAGTCTTCACTACTTTGAAAAAATAGGAATAATTTCGTAGTAATCCATCACCTTTCCAGCAGGTGCCTGGTAAGAGCTAAGTAGAGAGAGAAATGAGGAGAACACCCTGGGAAACGTGCAGATCAGCAAAGGAGGGGATGGTGTTTAAAACCACATTGGGTGCCTCCATTCTTTCCTGTTTGCCTCCCTGAAAAGGGGCAACTTTGAAAGATATTCTGTCATTTTCAAAAGCCCCTTGGCAAAAAAGTACAAGAACTGAGTGACAAATAAGTTTCAATGACTACTTTGGGTCATCAAAAGGCAAAGTTAGGTTTCTAGACCAGCAATTTTCTCCAACCAGCAGGCTGGCAGATGGCAGCCTCTGAAAACTCAGTGCAGAGACGGGAGTGGAAACAGAAGCGGGATCACTCTGATCATTAACAAAACAAGACTCACAATGACTCTGCTACAATCACTGAACAAGCTGGACTGCTTTAAGCATTAAAAATAAATAAATAAATAAAGCCAAGGCACTCTGATATTGAAAAGCTAAAAGAAAAATTCTAAACCATTCCATCTCCTTTCGTGAATAAATTGAGGAGTGCATCCTTGAGGCTGATGCCTGCTCAGCATCTTAGCTCCAGAAAAAAAATTCTAGATGCTGGACTGGCAGCATAAGAGATGCTATCTCAGATGATGCAGATTGTGGAGGGAATACACAGCCTTTGTACTCCAAGACCATGATCTGGACAGCATGTGAACTGATCTGGAGGTCAGACTGACACAAGGACACACAAATACAGATCCCATCTCCATGCTTGCTCTGAAGTCCTCAGCTTCCTGGGGTTCAGGTTACAAAGAAAATCACTTCTGTTCTACTTGGCATATCTTCATGGACAAGCCAGAGATGGCAATAAGTATGCAAGAGCTCCACATCTGAATTTTAGGGAAAATAAATAATAAAAAAAACACATATATCTAATACAGAAGCTGATTTTATGCCCACAGGGCATATGGACCCTGCAGAGAACACACTGGCATATTCTGAAAGGGACAATTGCTTCATGTACTTACCCTAAAATCTCATTTATCCAGACCAAAAGAAAATGACAATGCCAGTCGGAGCCCACCTGGAAGCTCCTTCCCAGATGCAATTTCTCATGGCACCCTAGAGGGCAATGAAATCCACCTGAAAAACCCTCCGAGGCTGCGACTCCAAGCGGATGGAAGCGGCTGCGTGGGCAGCAGTGAGAAGCGGCTCCTCGTGCCGCGGTGCGCGACGCCCGCGGCTCCTGGCGATGAGTTCCGTCACAGTCCTGCTGTCACGGAAACGGATTCTAGCATCTGTCTGGCTTCTGCCCACAGAAAACAGCTTTTAGGTACCTTCCTGTCACAACCAGAGCAGCTGTGCTCTGTGAGCAGCTTATTAACGTAGCTCTGCTCTGGATAAGCCTTGCTGGACCACGCGGGCACAGTCCCACAGCTCACCACAACGAGCCATCAAGGAAAGAATTCAGCTGACACAAATTCACACTTTTATCCTATGAATACAAATATCTATGGGCATACGTGGTGGTCTTCAGATGAACAGTTGTCCCTTTCAGGAGCTCGTTTGTCTACGCTACCCACTATGGTGAAAGCAGTACCTTCTCCCCTCAAAGACCAGCTCTTGCCAGCAAACCCGCAGCTCCATCTCCTCTTCCTCCAAACAACCTTACTGAGTGAGAGCCTGGCCCTCATTTTCCCACCACCTCACAAAATAATTAAACTTTTCAAATAAAACTATTTGAAATGAACTTATTTCCAAATTAAAGAAAAAAAAATCACAGAAGATGCAGAGAACAAACTGGCTTAACACATATGACATCTCATGCGGGCTAGCCCAGGTGAGGTCAAGCATGCACTACTTAACATCAGGAGCAGGATCAGCTTCAACCCTCATCACAAATAATCTTTCATCAGTGCTAAAAAACATACTGATTTGAGTGGAGAGTCTGTAT